AGCGGCGGCCCTCCCGCCGGCAAGGGTATTCAGCGGAAATTACCAGGAACGCAGCCGTTGGTTGCTAATGGGCTTGGGGAAAATGGGAGGCAATTTAGCGGCTGGTTTTCAGGCCCCGAGCTATTGAATAAATGAAGTGCGATCAGCCAGTTGCTGACGCACCTGCCGGCCGGGAGCAGAGGCTGCGGGGGCGGGAACCTGGGGGGACAGCGCCGGTCTGTGGGGGTGGGGACTGCAGGGCCCCGACACTGCGGGGCGCGGAGGCGGGACGGGAAGCTGGGGGGGGGGACGCTGCGGAGCTGAACTTGTCTGGCCTGGGAATGAGGATGGGGGGACCAGCGGTGGCGTGGGGGGTCCAGAGGTGGGGGAGGAACTCAAAGCCTACCCTTGCCCAGCACAGGGGACACAGGGACAGGACAAAGAGGGAGAGGGACCAGGTCTGGAGGGAAGGGGAGAGAGAGGGCTTGCAGCTCTTGACATCGTCCTAGGGCGGGGCAGCCGCTGCGGACCTTGCCTGCGCCATTGTCACTCACAACTGGGGGCCTGGCCCAGGCGTGGGGCTTATGAAAACGTGGGCAGCAAGCAGATTAGAGGATGCAGGGGAGGGGTGGGGAGATCAAGCTGTGTGAGGCTTGGGCGCCCCGCTGAGACCCCCGCCCTCGCAGTGCAGAGCGAGAGGGCTGCGAGGGGAGGGGAAGCCATGTCCCGGAGCCCACATCTACCGGACCACAGCCCGTGTGAGCTGGGGGTCCGGTGGGGCAGGGACCCTGCCCAGCATGCAAAGGATGAACCCACCCCACCCTTGCACAAGGGTGGAGATGGCCACAGTCCCCCCACCCCCCCCTTTGGCTCCAGGCCTCCCACACCTGTGGAAGCCCCTGGAGGGAGGGGGAAGACCTGTCTCCCCTGCTTCCTCCCAGACCCGCCCTGTGACCCGGGCAGACCCAGGCCTTTCACTTTTCAGATGGTAAAATGCAAAGTGGGGGTCCCCGCAGCGTCCTCACACCAAGCTCATGCAAACATGCACTGTGCTCCACTGCTGCCCACACACCCCCCCCCAGGTGCCAAAGCCCCCCAAAATGGGTTTAGACCCCCCACTTGCTGGATTGGATTCCTCTCACGCTTTCTGGAACACACAGCCAAGCCAAGGGGGAGACAGGTGCTCCCCACGGAGTCCCCTCCAGCCTCAGTGAGCTTCTCCACAGGGTCCTTCCTTCCTCCCTCTTGCTACTGCCTCCTCGTCACCCTGGCCACTCGGGGAGCCCTCCCTCCTTCCAAAGCCCCCCAAACAGCCCCTCCAGTGCCTACAGGGGCCTCGGTGGGCTGTGAGCCCAGACGAATGCAAGGGTGACAGTTGTTGCAAAATTCAGAGTGCCAGGCCAAGGGGTCTGCAACGAACACCTCTACAAGAGACACTGTGGCATGACAGGGGCGGCTTGGCACCGCACACCCTAGGATGGGGGCGTGTCCCCAAGACCCACCAAGCCCACCTACTTGCCCTAAGGTACCAAATATCTCTGAGGGGCTCCCACCCCCACTCCCCACCCACCCAGCACCACCACCAAATTCTGGGCTCCCTGGAGAAGGTGCTTCTGAAACGTGGTTTCCACGCCTACAAAATCAGAATAGAGGCGGGCAAGGGGCTCCCTGCTCCTGAGAGCGGGGG